CAGTTCCCACTTTCGAGCCCTCAGATGTGGTCCTGGGTCTCCTGGTTTTACAGGCACTTGCGCTGCTCGAGTCTGCACTTGGCTCCTTAGCCTGGGCACTGTCTTCCTTCTTCACGCGGCCTTTCTTCTTTTTCTTCTTCTTCTTCTCCTCTGAAACGGTGCTAGCGTTACTTTCACTAACTTTTATCTGTGCCAACGCATTGAATGCTAAATATGAACGATACTCACCAGCTACTCTTAAGGCTGGGATAGGCTTATTTTTCACTGTCTTAGGAAATATACCAGGTTTTCTTGGTGCTTCTTCTGGTGGGTTGTTGAGAAACTGAAATGATGTGGAGAAAACTTTAGCAAATATCTTAACTTTTTACATTGCTTCTATTCAGGATCTGGACATACATACCTCTATAGCTTTTGCTGCTTGTTCTTTTGTTTCAAATTCCACAAATGCAAATCCCTTCGGATCTCCGGTGGACTTGTAATGTGGAATACTTATGTAAACAACATTGCCACATTTTTTTTTTCTCTTTCGATCCAGCTGTGGTTAACATTTTTGGGAAGTAATTCCTATAATAAAACGGTTAATGTGTATAAGGATGTGTCAGTGGTTCATTTCAATACCGTCTCCATCTCACTGTAAGAGGGACCTCAAGACTCACCACGTACACAGTCCGCTCATCTTCATCCTTGGGCCTTTCTCCCAGAGGCTGCTTTCTCCTGATCCTGGTCCCTTCTAAATCCAACTTCAAGTGGTAAATAAGTTAATGCAACTAAGTATTGGGGCAGGAAATGTAAACGACTGGGAAATAAAAATGAATCGGGGAGGGGGTGGCTTACCTCTACAACAGCTGAGCTTTTCAGTGCTCTGGCTATTAACTTCCCATCAGTGGTCAGTTTTTTCATCTTGTTAAAAGATACGAGAAGTGATATATCCACATCTAACACAATAAATAGACTGGTTAAAAGGCAAGCTGTGCTCGTTTCCACAGCATTTATGTACTAAAATCTTAATGATACAGAGCACAAAATCAGCATGAAGCAAATGCAGATAAAGTTGAATACGGTGTTAGTTCAGATGCTCCTGGCTCATGTCTAGGCGGTGGTGGTGTTCAAAGCTTAGCCCATGCAGATTCAAGTGCATGCATGGTGTCACATAATTTAATTTAGTGCATATTTCAACACACCTGGTATTCAGGCAGTGTTACTGAATAACCTTAATACATCCCATGCAATTAATCACATACATCCCTGGCTGGGGGCAGCAGGTGCTAGATAGACATGGCTGACCACTGTTTGCGCCCCCTAGGCCTGGTGGCTTGCCTGGTCTCAGGTTTCTTGAACCCCAATGTATGACACGAGTACAGGCTGTAGATAGTGATGGTTGTCAGTCATGCATTTTTGGATGCATAGGACATTTGCAGAGTTTATACACTTAATTACCAGAGTGACCAGGAAAGTGAGAAAGTAAGCTGCCAGGTCTGGGACTTTAAGTAAGGTAAGGTTTGTCATGTGGGAATTCCGGTGCCTTTAAGCAGCATTAAGAGCTCCCAGGTCCGGGACCCCCTAACCCCAGGTTTGTTGACATGTTGTGAATGTATACTCACAGCCATCTCTAGATTTCTCTATCTGCTCTCGAAGGAACTTGTCCTTGTGCAGATTGGCATCCCCAAACCAGAAGTCCACTTGCTTAGCAATATCTGCAAGCACCTGTCTGACTCGAGACCGTTTCTTTTTTTCTACTTCTTTCTTTTCAGTGCCTTCCTCTTCAACAGCCTTTTCCGGATTTCCACTTGGAGTCTCCATTCCTGTGACTGAATCATAACTAACAATGTGTAGAAAAAAAGACTTATCGCAGCCAAACTTCAAACACTACAAAGAATCGATTTAGTTTATTTGACCAGAGAGACGAAAGGGAGAGCCCAAGTGGCCTGTGCTTGAGAATTTCCCAGGCGCGCTCACTGACTTAACTTGGCCTGTGGACTTTTTAGGGGTGGGGCCAGCAGTGGCTCGGTATTGAAGGGACTCCCACATGGTTGACCCTGATTCAATTCTTGGACCTAGTGGCTGACTTTCTCACTCTCTCACTTTCCCTCTGTTCCTCTCTGGTCAAATTAAAATAAAATAATTCTTAAAAAAAGATTATTTTAAGGGGCCAGCAGGTGGTGTGGGTGTAGAACTCCCCCCCCCCCCCCCCCCCGCGCGGTTGATTTAAAAAAATTATTTTAGGGACCAGCAGATGGCATAATGCTTACATTGTAGGACTCCCATATAGTCAACTGAGGTTCGAGTTCTGGACCTAGTGGCTTGAAACTCACCCGTGTGTGCCCAAAACCTGAAAGGAGAATGGAGGAGAAGGGACTGTGGAGTGGCCATCCCTTCTAGGGGGTGATTTCTCCCTTCCTGTCTCTGGCGAGCACATGCACCCTATAGCAAAATCCTGTCTTTTTATTTTTACTATTTAAAAAAAAATTATTTTATCTAACTTTGTTTATTTAAATTTGACCAGAGAGGGATGGGGGGGGGAGTGAGAAAGCAAGCCTCCAGGTCTTGGACTCGAATTGTGGTCTACCATGTGGGAATCCAGTGCCCTTAACCACCACGCCACTGGCCAGGCCCTATTTAAATGTATTTTCCAATTTGATCAGAGAGGGGGAAATTGAGAAAGCCAGCCATCAGGTCTGGGACCTGAAAGGTCGTTGGCCATGTAGGAGTTCAATGCCTTTAGCCACCATGCCATCTGCCAACCCTGACTTTTCACTGGAGGTCTTTGTACTTTAAAAATTTGTCTATGGGGACCAGCAGTTGGTGTAATGGCTATGCTGCTGGACTCCCATGCAGTCAACAGTGGTTTTAGTCCTGGACTCAGTGGCTTAAACTCACGCCGGGCGCATGTGTGCGTGCCCAAGATCCTGAAAGAATGGAGAAGAAGGGACTGCAATGTGGCCATTTCCCCTGGGGGTGCTTTCTTGCTTTATGTCTCTGCCTTTCTGGTGAGCGAACACGCCCTATAGCAAAAACCTCTCCCCCCACCATAAAAACCACCTATGTCAGACATGATGGCTTTCCTTGTGAGTCTTTTCCACGGCACGGCCCGGAGTCCACCTTAGTCACAGTACACGGGGTCCCGACAACCTACTTTTAACTAGATCGGAGGCCCGAGACCCTCCAGAAACCTGTCACCCCCAGTGGGCGACGTAAACTGGTCTTTGTTATCACTTGACTGACCTCTGCCTTCTAGAAGCAGAGCCCCCACTGGCCTGTGACTCCCCTTCTCCCATCCCAGCGTCTCCTTGGTGGCGGTTCCCGACCTGCCTCAGGTGACTGTCACTGGCCCTCCCCGGGCTCCAGACTCAACTACCCAAGACGTCCCGCTGAAAGTTAGCCGGAAGTCACACAGCTCGCGCCCCTGGGTGGCAGTCTCCTCAGCGAGCTCTCGTCCCACAATCATACACACATATTTTTACCTTATCTAACTTTACTTATTTCAGTTTTGACCAGAGGGACGGATAGGGGCGGGGGGACTGAGAAACGAAGCCGCCAGGTCTGGGACTCAAAGCGCAGCCGGCCATGTGGGAGTCCAGCGCCCAGCGCCCTTAACTACCATGCCACCTGCTGGCTCCCAACAATCATATATTTAAAAGCAAATTTCAGGGCTGGCAGAAAGTATGGTTAAAGCACTGGATTCCCACAAGGCTGACAGTGGCTTGAGGCCCAGACCTGAAGGCTTTCTCACTTTTCTTCTCTTTCTCTGTTCAAATTAAAAATAAATAAAGGCAACAATTTTTTTTTTTGAGAGATTTTTGCTATTTAGCTCATGCACTTGCCATAGAGTGAGAGACAACGGAAAGTGAGAAGTCAGCCCCCAGGGGTGATGGCCATGCTGCAATCCCTTCTCCTGGGATTTTGGGCATGCATGCACACAGGTCCAGCATGAGTTTCAAGCCGCCAGATCCAGGACTTGAACTGCGGTTGGCTATGAGAGAGTCAAGGGACATAACCATTACACCATCTGCTGGGCCCCCAGTAAAATAATTCTTAACAAAAAAAGGGGGAGAGAGAGGGAAAAAAAAGAAGTAAATTTCTCCAGACCTTCATCTCCCCTGCCTGGTCTATCCACAGCACTCTCGGGCTGTAATACCCAGGGAGGATTTATCACACACCTTTCCTGGGGAAGAGCTGTTCTGTGCTGCTTCCTGGCACAGCGTCCCCCAGGGTTTGCTGCATGGGCTGAATCGCCGAGGTGCACACACGCCAAGGCATGCACACACTGGAGGTACACGAGCACCGGACGTGCGTACACACACCGAGGTGCACACACACGCAGAGGCAAGCACACGCCGAGGCACACACATGCCAAGATGTACGCATCCTGCACCAGAGGTGCACACACACTAAAGTGCACACACACGCCAGGGGTGCACACTGAGACACACACACACAGGGGCAGCCTCCACCTCTCACAGGCCCAAGTAAGGGGGCGCAGAGGCACTGTGTGTGGAGGAGATGCCCAGCTGTCCACGCACCAGCTGGAGGGCCTCAGCTCTCCACTGGTCTCTCACAGGTCCCTCTCAGCTCGCGCTCCACTGTCCACTTGTCTCCCCTCCACGGATACTCCACTGTCCAACAGCCTGGGTGGAACTCTCAAACTTGAACCACTCAGCCCACTGCGAAACAGACTACGTGCCTGCTAAGACGGCAAGCACCCTGGTGTCACCCTTCCCGTGTTTCGCACAGCCGGCACGCAATGCAGCGGCATAGCCGTGAGCTGGACTTTGATCAAGGGATTTTTGCCAAAGAGCATGTGCACTCACTGACGGGCAGAGACAGAAAGCAAGAGACACACACCCCCCCCAGGGGGGATGGCCACCCCGCAGTCCCTTCTCCTCCATTCTCCTCTCAGGATCTTGGGCACACACACATGCCCTGATGTGAGCTTAAGCTGCCAGGACTCAAACCACAGTTGACTACACGGGAGTCCAGTGACAGAGCCATTATGCCATCTGCCGGTCCCCAGCTCGACTTTTAGAACAGATCCTAAATATAAAGATGTCTCCTCCCTTCCCTCACGGTTGCCTGTCCAAGTCCCCATCAGTCCAGCCTGCTCCCCTCTTCTTCTAGTCTGCTCTCCAGAGAGCACTCGCTCACATGACGGCCTGACAGCCCTGGCACCCCCCAGGCCCGCCCCGTATTCACAGGGCCCTATCTATGTAACCCGGCCAGCCCTCCATTCTCCCCTGTGGCCGGCTACAGCCACACGCCTCACTGGGGTGCACAGGTGGCACGTGTGGGCTCCTGCGACGTGCTTCGGCCACCCACAGCCAGGCCTTCGCCCTCATGCTCCTTCACTCTCCGCCTTATGCACAGCGTGGACTCCTTCCTGGCCCTTCCAGGTCTCTCAAATGTCACTTTCTCCAGGAGGTTCTTGCTCACCTGACCTAAAATACTGCCTCCTGGCCAACCCTAGCCTGACCGCATCCCAGTCACCAGCTCCTGTCCTGGTACCTCTGTTCACTGCCCGGAATGGTACTGTCGTCTCTCCAGCAGAACGTACACACCATGGGAACAGGGACGCCAGCTTGACCAGCAGTGCTCGACAGCTAAGTAAGTGCCGAAATGCCCGAGCGCAGTGAGCACTTCAAGTGTGGGGCGGAAGACACGGGCAGGATATAAACGTAAGCTATGATGGCGGCAGCTCCGTGGCTAGCGTTTCCAGAGAACAGCTCCGCATCAAGAAAGACCAGCTGCTCTCCACTCCCCTTCCCCCGAGGGCTCCCAGCCACGTAAGGAAGAGAGTCGAACTGCAGGCACAGAAAGCCACCAGTCTCGGAAGTCGCTCCCTCCACACTCTGCCGTCTTAGCCCAGGACCCCGCTCCAGTCTTTCCCCCAAGGACTGTTCCTATCTTGGATTTGGAGGAACTTGCGGCTTACATTGTGACCTCAGACACAGCACGATTTAGCTTCTCTACGCGATGACCACAGAAAACTGGACGTTTCATGGCAGTTCTTTTTTTTTTTTTTGAGAGGTTTTTGGCTATAAGGCGCGTGCACTCGCCAGACAGACAGAGACATAGAGACAGAAACAAGAAATCACCCCCCAGAGGGGATGGCCATGCTACAATCCCTTCTCCTCCATTCTCCTCTCGGGATCTTGGGCACGCACGCACACGCGCCCGGCGTGAGTTTTTAGTCACTGGGTCCGGGACGCGAACTGCGGTCGACTACATAGGAGTCCAGCGACATAGCCATTACACTAACTGCTCGTTCCCTCATGGCGATTCTTGTGACAGTCTGGGTCCCAATGCCTGCATGACCCTGACGCGTAGGTGGGCAGTCCGGGCATGTTCCATAGCAATGCATCCCACTCAGACCCCCTCTTTCTACCATTTCCACCTCATTTAAGGGTGCCACATTCCACCACGTTAGCCAATCCAGCTGCTGACTAGCTGTGCAGATTTTGAACAAGTCACTTCACCTGTGTGGGACCAGCAGAGGGCATAGTGGTTCCGTTGCTGGACTCCCGACACTGTGGTTCAAGACCCGGACCCAGTGGCTTCAGAATCACACAGGACATGTGTGCATGTGTGCCCCAAGATCCCTGGAGGAGAATGGAGAAAGGACTGTGGTGTGGCTATCTACCCAGGAGTGATTTCTCACTTTCCCTCTCAATGTCTGTCTCTCTGTATGGAGAGCAAAAAAACTTAAAAAAAAAAAATCCTACCTACATAATAGGGAGTGTTCTGAGGATTAATTAACGTCTACAAAGAACTTCGAACTGCTGCTCCATGGAACGCATTCAGTCATATGTAAGGATTACTGGGTCGTCAGGGAAGTCATGATTCATTTTACAGAGAAAAACAGAGACATCATGACTTTCCTGACAACCTGGAGTTATCATCCATCTGTCACAGAACCCTATTGGTTCAACTTCTGCAATGGTTCTCCTCTTCATTCTGTCTTTCCTACGACTACATTTACTAGAACAAGTTTACTAACTTCTAGACATCATTATTCTTCTTGGAAGCTTGTAACTTGTCAAAAACACAGACCTGGTTTCATCATGCGGACATTCACGCTTGAACAGTAGAAGCCCCTCAGCAGCCTGCTGTATTTACAGATGCTGAAACAAGCCATGGCATCTAGAGGTTCCCCCACACGGGCCCGACGGGAAGGACAGTCACTGTGTGCCCCATGGTTACTACACACGCTTGCTCTAAACCCTCAGCCCCATTAGGTAGCTTCTCCCGCCTTTCTCACAGAGGCTCAAAGGTTAAGAGGGGTGTCGCCTGGGGGATCAGAAGGCTGAGCTGGTCAGAGAATCAGGACGTCTTTGGCTGGAGATTTACTACATCTGTCCTTGGAAGAGGAAAAGAAAAAACAAAGAGGAAGCAGCTAGTTCAAAGTCCAAATTCTTACTTCATGGATGTAAAATGTCCAGGCTGCTACAAGGTCACTACGGTCTTGTCACGCTCAGAAAGCGGTTCTGTGTGGGCGTTCACCAGTGCTGCGCCAGCCACCGGGAGGCCAGACTCAGGCTGCCCATCGGAAGGAAGCAAGGCTACTGACCTACGACTTGCTGAACTCACTGTTTTCTCACAGAAAGCCTTATCATAAGTTCAGCAATTCTGGTTAATCTGCCAAGATAATGTACTTAGGTTTGGTGTCAGTTTTTCAATTAGGTTTTGATTATGAGTATATAAATATAAAAAAAAGGTTAAATGACTTGGCCAAAGCGGCCTTGGGTGAATGAGTCCTGGTAGGTTCGACTCACCACTTACCCTTCTGTAGAACCTCCTGCAATCTGCCACATGCACTTTACATTCTAACCCAGAAATTCTTTTCAATGAATTACTGATTTAATGTTATTTATTACTATTATTATAGTTCGCCTGAGTGAGACTAATTTTTTAAAATGTGACCAGTGACAGATAAAGAGGCAAAGTGAGAAACCAAGCTGTCAGATCCGGGATCAAACTGTGGTCGGCCATTTGGGAGTCCAACTCCTTAGCCACCGCGCCACCTGCTGGCCCCAACCTAGGAATACTTCACTTGAAGTCCATAGAACTTTGGGCAGGTTTCAGGAATTTGTGAACTACAGGAAGCTGGAGTTAACAATAAAACTTTTTTTTGAAGAATTATTTTTATTTAATTTTATTTAAATTTGACCCAGAGAGAGGGAGAGCAAGAGAGAAAGAGAGAGCGAGAGCGAGAGGGAGAGAGAGGAGGATAGTGACAACGCAAGATGTCAGGTCCGGGACTCGAACCATGGTTGACCATGTAGAAGTCCAGCACCCCTAACCACCATGCCACTTGCTAGCCCCCAAAGATAAATTTTAAAGAAGAGATAAAATCATAATTCTTATACCAACAGAAAAGGAGTACCCAGTAAAGATATCATTATGTAATTACTGAGGGAATCAGTTCAGTGTTAAAGACAAGGTCAAGTGAGAATATAAAAAGCAGACACAGGGCTAGCAAGTGGCACAGTGCTTAAGGTGCTGGACTCCCACATAGCTGAATGGGTTCGAGTCCCAGAGCTGGCAGCTTGCTTTCTCACGATCCCCTACCCTATGGTGAGTGCACATGCCCTATAACAGAACTAAAGACCAACCAACCAACCAACCAGATAAAATTACTGTAATAAAACAAAACAAAAGAAAACACAGACACATATACAAGAGAGGCCTTGAAAAGTCTGTGGTGGATCAGCCAGTCCCACGGTGAGTAAGGCAGCTAGATCTCATGGCCACCTGCGTAGCCGGAGTCAGACCAGTGCCTTGAAAAACATCTATGTGTGTGGCTCCCAGGGCTGGGCTCCTGAGCCCAAAACCCCAGAGAAGGGACTGCAGTGGCCAAGCCCCACTGTGGGCTTTCTGTCTCCTTTCTCCACTCTCCCTGGACCCTGCCCTATAACCAATGGGTGGGGAGGAATACAAAGCACTTGAGGGACCAACAGATTTAGAGAGGAGAACGAAGGGGAAGGGGCTGCAGAGGTGCCATCAGCCCCCTGGGGGGTGATTTCTCCTTCTCTGCCTCTCTGCTAAGCAACCTCGCCTTATAGCAAAAATCACTAAAAAAAAAAAAGTTCGTTGCAAAATGGAAAGTACAGTTTATTTTGGTGCAAAAATAAAATTGAAATCCATGCAGTTTTGTTATTATATGCATTTTCTGGTAACTTTTAAAATTTAACTTTCTCTCTCTCTCTCTCGTTATTTATTTATATTTTAATTTAAAGAGGAAGAGAGAGAGAGAGAGAAGAAGAGAGAGAGAGAGAGAAAGCCGCTAGGTCCAGGACTTGAACCGCGGTCAGCACAATGGGAGTCCAGCGCCCTTACCACCACACCACTTGCTGGGCCCCATTTTCTGGTACCTTTCAGGAAACCCCTCTAATAGGTGATTAGGAACATTTAAATTAACGTTAACAGATGCTGGCCAGGGGGATAATCAACCGCATCTCCACCGGACACGCCCACTTTAATTTCTGTCATTTTCTACAAGTTACACAGTTGCAAACAGAGCTCCGTGACGACAGGCACAGGTAGCAGGAGTTAACCATGACACCCAGCCGACTTTTTTTTTTCTTGCTAGTTGTCTTTCTTAAGTTTTCCCCAAAAAACGATAAGCAATGTTCTGACAGGTACGTGCCCATTCCTCCCCGTACTCTGACCACGTTTACAAAGACA